TCTCTTTCTGTCTCAGTCAAGCACATGCTCCGTATAGCAAAAAACAAAACAAAACAAAACAAAACCTCTCTCACACACACACAAAAGTAGAATACATAGAAAACTTGGTTTGCTCTGTCTTCAGTTCTTGCCTCAAATTCTCACTTGAATCTATCAAGATGGGCTCTCATGTCCACCATTCCATGGATAATTTCTTCTGAAGAATCACTAATGACCTCTCCATTTCTTCTTTTTTTAAGAGAGTTTTTTTTTAAGAAAAATAATTACTTTATTTAGCTTTATTTATTTATTTATAATTTGACCAGAGGGGGACAGAGAGAGAAAGAGAAAGCAAGAAAGTGAGCCACCAGGTCCGGGACTCAAATCGCAGTCAACCATGTGGGAATCCAGCACCCTTAACAATACCACCACCTGCCAGCCCCGAGATTTTTTTTTTTAATAATTATTTAATTCCACTTGTCATTATTATTTTTAAATTTGATCACACAGAGAAAGGGAAAGTGAGAAAGCAAGCCACCAGATCCAGGACTGAAACCATGGTTGACCATGTGGGAATGGCAGCATATCATACACCATGCCACCTGCTGGTTCCAAGATTTTTTTTTTAAAGGTATGTTTGCTATAGTGTTTGTGCATTTACCACAGAGACAGAGATAAAAAGTGAGAAATCACCCTGTTGGGGGATGGCCGCACTGCAATCCCTTCTCCATTCTCCTCTGCAATTTTGGGCATGCACACACACGCACCCTGTATGACTTTGAAGCCTCCCAGTCTGGGACTTGAACGGTGGTCAGCCCTGTAGGTGTCCAGTGACATAACCATTGTGCCATCTGCTAGTCCCACCCTCTCCTAAAGCCAATATTTAATTCCTCATTCTTTTTTTTTTTTTTTTTTTTGGAGAGGTTTTCGCTATAGGGCGCATGCGCTTGCCAGACAGACAGAGAGACAGAAAGCAAGAAATCCCTCAGGGAGGATGGCCACGCCACAATCCCTTCTTCTTCATTCTCCTCTCAGGATCTTGGGCACGTGCACATACACACTCTCCGCGTGAGTTCTAAGCCACCGGGTCCGGGACGCAAACTGCGGTCGACTACATGGGAGTCCAGCGACATAGCCATTACGCTAACTGCTGGTCCCTAATTCCTCATTCTTATCCCCTCTTGTTTTTTTTTCCATCAAAGTGGTTTGTTGCCAAGATGGTCACTTCCTGTTTTACTGTATCTCCCGCTAACCTTGGAAAATCCCTGTCTTGTTTTCCAGTCTCCTGTTGATTTCTCACCAGCTCCCTCTGTTTAATCTCCTGAGCCCTGTTCTCACTGTGCTGTGGCCTAGGGCTTCTTCCTGGAACATTTTGTTTATATACACCACAGATTAGTTTAACACCCATCATGCCATGAATTCATAGAGAATATCTTCCAGTAGCTCAGGCTCCTTTCCATTGGTTCTCACAAAGTGTGCTTCTCTGGGTGGAGCAGGCTGGC